ATGCCCATGGTTGAACCCATTCGTTCAACCGCATCCCATTCGACATCGCTCAAATGGGAGTAGCCGTCACGCGTAGCGTGAAAGCTTTGGTCATCTTCATCATCCAACATATTCATGTTGGATGTGAACGTGGTCCTTGGACGGACTACGAAGTGCTACCAGGTGTAACGGGGCACCCTGAAGCTTGTACTGGTAACAGTACAAGCTACTTATTCTGATGACAGAATAAGGCGGTGCCTCGGAACTTCACGTACACTCGTACGTGCAGAGGAAGACGGTAAGAAGAAGCGAGTACTTGGTTAGAGTAAAAGTAGAACTGTATTTACAATAGTTAATGTCTGCAATATATCACTATTTATCTTCATCTAACTATGTCGAAATACAAATGTGCATATCAACTATCTGCTCACCACTCATTGCGGGCGATCTGTGGTGGCGTCTTCGTTGATTGATATAATGGTCTATATCCAAACTAACAATTAGGAACTACTCGTGAGTGCTGCAGACTGTTTGTCCTTATGACAATATTCTGAGAAAATATAACTCTTATAGTTATATTCTATTAACAATCTTTTATAACCTTGTTTATAAAACGATTCACCCCGTTACACCCCCCCCATGCACGATGTCCTCTTCACCAAACGATCAGACTCTGAGTGTGACTACTTCGGAATAGAGGGAGGCAGTGGACTATGGTAGCGATACCAGTGTCCAGGGTGATACAGGGACAATGTCCGACTCACCGATTCCTGAGGCACAACCTTCGAATACCTCAAGTCCGTTCTCTGAACGTGGAGATGCGACTTGCGCCACCGGCGTCAGCATTCCACAACTGGTTCTGATGAAACTATCATCACGAACCCGCTCGATGAGCAACAACAATTGCTTGTCCAACAAGAAGAAAACGCTCAGTGTCATGCACAAATGGGTGCAACCCTTGAGCGCCAGCGTGACTATGTGTTCACTCCACCCAGTGTGGAGGAACGTCTACGTCAAGCGGCCGGCCAAACTCTGGAGACGTGGGTCATTGGGCCATGGGCCTAAGACTCATAAGGAGTTGGTAAGCTGCCAGGCACTTCGTGAGAGGTACTGGAGCCGCACCTAACGACTCCAAGTCAATACAAGACACGCCTTGACATGCAAGCACGTGGTGCACCGGTTCCACCGATCAAGGTTATACCCATTCTCTTGTTCGCAGGCGAAACAGTGAGTGAATAAGACGCTGCCTGTGTTCGCTGGGTGCACCATGTACGTCGCCTCAGCAATATGTTTACCCTAAGGGCTAGTGTCAATGTGGCTGTTGTGCGTCTCGAACGCGAATTTCGGTATGATTATGCCAAGCTGAAGGCCAGAGGCCCATTGCGCAAGCGCACGCTATGCTTTAGCTACTAAGGTAGCCGCGAAAGCTGTTCAGTCTGTGACCAACAACCCGCCAACCCACACCACTAGTGGTGAAAAACGGCCTCGGTCTCCAGATGACCATGACCACGATGCTCAAAAGCATCCAAAGTATAAGGGCAGTCTTGCCGAAGGGGTATCTGAAACTTCCATGAGTTTTCAGACATAGGGTACCCTCGCCACTTTACCAGATACTGGTATTGGCCCTGACGACCACGTCGTTTCCGTAGTCTTTCGACATGAAACTGACGACACCCGTGCTCACCGAGCAAAGTCGGTGGAGGCCGGTGTACCGGTGGAGGCCCGAAGTGAAGGGTCTTTGAGAGACCTTGGGGTAAGACCCAGTGCATGCTGGATGCAAAGCCCCCTTCAAGCGATGGAGCAAGCTCAAACCCGGAGCGGGGCTAAGTTGGACCTGCTAATCGTCTACAGCAATCCGGGGCAATGCCCTTGTCGTCGGCGCAAGCAACTCCATGTTCACATGAGAAGGATCCCGGTAAGGCTTAAGTAAGCCTACGTAGAACACTGGATGTGTGCGCAATTTGCGCGGGCGGTTTAGCGTATACGCAAGTCCCTTCTTGGCCGTGACCGTAAACGGCCCAATAAAGCGTGGACGCAACTTTGTCTTAAAGACAGCAGACACTACATTTGTAGGTAGATTTTTAGCATTGAGTAGTACTTGGTCTCCGACCTCATAACGTTCAATACAATTTCTGCCTTTGGCATCAGCTTGTTGTTTTTGGGTATCTTGGCTATCAGCCATTGCGTCACGCACATGTCTTAAGACATTTAATCGCGTTGCGAGAAACTCGCCTACCTGTTTTTGAACAGTAGCAGGGCTGATATCAGCAAGCCGATCGGCAACCTCTCCCCCCACCAAGCCCTGAATCACGTAGTGATAGCGTTAACGGAACGCGAGGGTGAGTGAGACCGTTTATATAGAACGGAGTAAAGCCTGTTGAGGCATGCACAGCGTTATTTAACGCAAACTCAACAACAGGGAGCATTGAGCTCCAACGCCTAGGCGTATCAGCGCAAACACTGCGCAAAATGTCGTTAATGACGCGGTTTACACGCTCAGTTTGACCGTCGGTCTGCGGATGATCCGCTGTGGACATGTCCAACCGAGTGCCAAGCACCTTGAAGATAGACTTCCAAAACTTCCCAGTGAAGCGGGGGTCTCTGTCAGAGATAATTGCCACAGGCAAGCCATGTTGGCGAAAGACACGGTCGATAAACAGCTTTGCTGTACCTTCCGCATCAATGCTATCCGGCACAGCCGCTAAGTGAGCCATCTTGCTCAATCGGTCAACAAAGACCACAATTCCAGTGTTGCCTTCCGAATCTTTCGGTAGACCAAACACAAAATCCATGCTCATGGACTCCCAACAACCAGTGGGAACAGGCAAACTAGCCAGCGGCGCCGCCGCATGTGCCGAGGGTTTTACCCGTTGACACGTTTCGCACGTACGCACATAGGTGCGCACCCACTTATAAAGTTTGGTCCACCAATAATTTTGGCTCACCGAGCTATAAGTCTTCTCACGACCGAGATGACCACTTAAAGCAGTATCATGTGCCTCATAGAGGATCCGATACTTTAATTCCTCATCATGAGGTACTACGATACGAGGGTTGTCCTCAATATCCGTGCGATAGCACAACAGGCCATTATCAATGGAATATCGATGTAGCCTCGCACGTAAACGTGCCGACAATTCTATGTCCGAGTCTTTAAACTCATTGCTCCCAAGAGCTCGTAGCAAAGCTACACACTGATCGTCCTTGGCATATGCCGCACGAATTAAGTCAGGGACTGACGACGACAGGGTCGTAACATGAGCAAGCTCATAGTCAGGTCGACGCGATAGCGCATCAGCCAAAGCGTTTTGCTTACCTGGCTTGTACTTCACCTCGAAGTTGTATTCGGCAAAGAAAGAAAGCCAACGAGCCATTCTCTGTGAGAGGTGAGGCGACTGTGTCGCAGTGCGCAATGACGCATGATCGGTATAGATCACAAATGGCTTCGAGCCAAGCAGATGGACTCTGAACTTGACAAGAGCGTACTTCATAGCAAGTAGCTCTTTGTCATGAACAGGATAGTTCTTTTCAGCAGCTTTCAGCTGTCGAGATTCAAATGCGATGACGCGTTCGCGTCCGTCGACATCTGTTTGTAACAGAGCACTGCCTATGGCAAAGTCAGATGCGTCACAGACGACACTGAAAGGCCGACCAGAATCGGGCAAAGCCAATATTGGCGCATGAAGGAGACTCTCCTTAACTGCTTCAAAAGCTTTATGTTCGGTGTTACCCCAACACCAACCCACATCCTTTTAAGGAGATTGGACAATGGCCGAGCCATATCTGCGTAATTTGCACTGTACTTATGTAAGTAATTGGCAAGGCCAAGCCACTTACGCAAGTCCTTTTGGTTCTTGGGGACTGGCCAATCGACTATGGCTTTTACCTTAGCGGGATCCGCTCGAAGGCCTCGCTTCCCAATGAAGCACCCTAGAAAGGGAATCTCTTCTGCACCAAAGATGCACTTCGATGCGTTCGCATACAGCTTATTCGTTCGCATGCACTCGAGCACAGCTCGTAAATGATCAATGTGGTTATCCACATCTGATCGCCCATTCATTGCACGACTATGGACAAAAATGTCATCAAAGTACGTTTGTGCATAGCCTCGATGAGGTCTGAATAGTTGCGTTACCAACCGGTTAAATGTAGCCGGGGCGTTAGATAGCCCTTGCGGCATAACGAGCCACTCCCAAAGCATACCGCTCGGAGTACTCACCGCTGTTAGCGGAATATCGCTTGCTCGCATGAGCAGTTGGTAATAACCATCGACTAAGTCGAGTGCACTGTACAGTGTACATCCCGTCATATTGTTCTGAAGAACATCCTTTCTAGGAATAGGCGTCTGCGCCGGTATAGTGGCTGCATTAAGCTTATTGTAAGCATGCACAATACGCCACTTGCCATTTGGCTTTTTGACACAAAATGTCGGTGTTGAATGGGGAGATTTACTCTCACGAACCATTCCAGCCGCGTGCTTAGCACGAAAGAAATCGTCAATGACGTCGCACTGTTCTTTAGGCAAAGGCCACTGCCGTGTTACACAGTATTTAGTTCCAGGAACCAAGTCAATCTCATGACGTACACCTCTATCTGGAGGTAAGGCAGAAGGTGGGTTGTGACACACCACATCTTGAAATTCCTTGACTAAAGGATAGAACGGATCCAAAGGATCTTTAAGGATCGAAGATCCACTTCGTGCACTAAGTGCCGCCTTTGTATCCTCTAGGACAGACTCATCCATTATCGAGGAAGAATTCAATTCAGTATCAGGTCTAATGACCGCTAACTCGGATAACTCTCCTGCCTTCAAGGCCTGGCTAAATTCGCCATCAGACATTTCGTCTAGCTCACACAGAGCGTCCACGGATGGAAGGGTTTCAAGGCAAACACTGCCATCAACCTGACCAGTCACTCCATTAACAAGTGTATATAGTGTATTGCTAATCTCACAATGTGACTGTGAGGACGCCTGGCGCTTTACAGCTGCTACTCGGCGTCTCGATTGTCTCTTCGAGACCTTACTCCCCCTTAGGGGTCGGGACAATATTGTCCCCATGGTTACTACCAACCATAGTACGCTCTACACGAGAGCTTTTGTCTTGACCAACATTAGGTGTGGTGCCCTCACGGCCGTCCACACTATACGGCGTACCGCCAACAGTGTCATTACTGACATTAGGTGTGGTGCCCTTACGGCCGCCCACACTATACGGCGTATCGCCATTAATATCATTACTGACATTGAGCGTGGTGCCATCACGGCCGCCCACACTATACGGCGTTTCGCCAACAACGCCATTACCGGCGTTAGGTGTGGTGCCCTTACGGCCGCCCACACTATACGGCGTATCGCCAACAATATCATTACTGACATTAGGTGTGGTGCCCTCACGGCCGCCCACACAATATGGCGAATCGCCAACAACGCCATTACCGGCGTTAAGCGTGGTGCCCTCACGGCCGCCCACACTAAATGGCATATGGCCAAAAATGTCATTACCGACATTCAGTTCGGTGCTCTCACGGCCGACCGCACTCGGTGTAATTTCACGTGCCACCATACACACATCAAAGGAATCACGTCCTTGATCACTCGGCCCTAGGCCAACCATGCTTTCAGCATGCAGTGACTCGTTATCACAACGAGTACCACTCAACGGAGTACGTGCCGTTTCACTAGTTTTAGACGAGCTAGGCTCGATACTCATGTTTGTAACATTGGAGTTGGATAACTCGGACTGTCCAATATCCAGCACATTGACATCTTCTGTCAAAGGCTCGCGCCAATAGCGCTTCTGCTGCCTAGCAAAGGTGGATTCATGACTCTCCAAAGCTTCGCTAGGAACATTGCGCGTAGCGCCTAAGGTCTTAGACCTCCAATCAACCCATGGCTCATGGCGCTCAAGCCAAGCCATACCTAGGATGAGATCATATCTCGAGTCCAAATCTAGGACAAGACAGCGCTCAATACTGTCAAAGTCTAAAAACTTTATACCTAAGTTCAATGGAACTTTAGGCACCGTTACGCGACTTCCAGTCGCTAAACGAACCGTGATAGAATCACCCTCATGCGCTGTAAGCGCCTCAGCATAACGCTGACTTCCCTCAAGGGAACGGCGTCGAGCATAATTGCAAGACGCTCCAGAATCGATCAATATCGACCAAGGCTTCTCGAAGCCCTTAATTTCCGCCTCAGCGACCAACAAGCCAGACTTGTATCCACGCACCATACCCGTAGGTATGGTACTCTTTGGGGCTAAGCCCTGCATTCCTTTACCTTCTAAAGGTGTAACAGAACATAGTTCTTCCCCAGTAGGGCGCCCCGCGCCTACTGGGTGTCGGCATTTCCCCGTGCCATGCCAGACTTCTGACTCGGGCTCGAGTGTTGGCTCGTAGTCTGGCGTTGCTTACGCAAAGGGCAACCAGGCCGCAAGTGTTTAGTGCTTCCGCACGTAAAGCATCGTCTTACAACGTGTTTCTGCTCAGCAGCTTGAAGCTCAGCTTCACCTCCATCTTCAGCATAGCTGAGATCCATCGGTTCCGGCCTATTATAGGCAGTGGTACCCGAATAGTTTGCTCTCACAGAGCGAGGATTGTATCCGTTCCAACCAAGTCTGGCCGACTTGAAGTTATGCTCAGCATTAAGGGCAATTCTCACAGCCTCTTCAAACGTAGAGGGGTGAACCCGAAAAAACTTCGGTTCTGGCAATGCCAGTACGTAGACCTTCCATAAAGATAGTCACATGGACTGCTTCAGGCAAAGGGTCAGACTGCATTGCAGCCATGAGCGTTCGCAGCTCTTGGACATAGTCCGATAATTCATTCTTACCCTGGCGGGTAGAAAGAAAGCGTGAGCGCACGCGGTAAGCCTGGTTAGGTGGAGAAAACACCTGTACCAATTGTAACTTGAGCGACTCCCATGTGGGAAACGCTATGTCCACCGACGTGCTACACGTCAAGGCCCATTCTCTAGCTCTACCATCGAGCTTCGAGATAGCCAGCGAGACCTGTTGATGGTCAAGCGTGATCAGACCTGATCTCATGGCCATCTCGATCTCACGGATCCAGAGGATGAGGTTCTCACCCTCCTTACCGGAGTAGTTTTTACTTCCACTCTAAGTGGACGAGGCTTAGCCTCTTCGTCTGGTACAGACACGTAGCGTGTAGGCATAGCCGACGCTATTTGGTCTTGGACCTGCCCTAAAAGGGTCGCTTCATACTGCATGAAGCTTTCAACACGTGCATTAAGCACTTCAGGACCTTGTGAAACAAGGAACTCCACGTACTCTGGACCCAAAGATGCGGTCAGCTTATCAAGCGCGACCTTTTGGGACTCAGATAGGGGAGTGATGTTTTCCATCCTCACAGAGGATCAGTCTTAAAGACTCAGGCGTAGATTGACTACGAGTGCTACCAAGTGTAGCGGAGCTACACAGCTCCTTAAGTCAGAGGAAGAATTAACGCTCGATACTGACGCTTAAGTTGGTTCTAAAGAACTAATGACTTTACGAGTCAACAAGCTTTATAGCTTCAGATCCCTGTTCCAGGGGACCTAACGATTCATTGAATCGACAGCACTTAGTGCTCAAGAGTAGCTACCTCAGGGGGGTGGCGCTTAGAACTCTTACGGTGATCAGAGATCAACGATCAAGATGGCTCGCAAGCCACGTGTCTTTCAGATCAAAATGGGAACTGATTTTATTTTGTTAAAGTATAGAATATCTTCATCCTACTCAAAGATCTTTCGTATCTAATGGCTGCACCACTCGTCACGCCCCTCCAAACGATCAGATATGTCCTATCATCTCAGAGCGAAGCCACCCTCAAAAGGTTGCCGTACACCTCTGGTACAGAGTAGCGTGATTTCGAGCTACCCCCGTTAACAAGGTAGCTCTATATATCATGCGACAGATCTTCGGTACTACCAAATGGATGGATGTCAAGTGTAGTAACACTGCAAAAAGGTCCTGGACACCACCGCCAAGATGAATATCACAGACACCGAAATGGAGAAAGACGTGACGATCGGTTTGTCTGTGAGATTCGAAGATGTCAGATCACTTTATTCTGAACCTGGATGAGTATCGCGAGACTGTGGACGTATTACATTGAAATGTGTTGATGAATGACCTTATGGAGCAACAGAGGAAGAAGGCAGCAATGGTGGATGCTGGTAAATAGATCCTTCAGTAATAAACGCGAATCTCTATAATCTGTGTACAGCGGTAAATTGGAGTACACATCGTGGGGAGCTAGCTGTACCAGCATAAGCTTAAGTACGACTATTGAGGAGATCCACGCAGCTTGTGCAGCTTGAGGGCATTGATCAATGTTCACTGAAAGATCATGATGAAGACAGCGAATACAATGAGAAACGCTTTGTCTTGTGGACATTGATGGATGTCAAAGGGTAAGAGGCTTTGTCGAGGAAGCTTGAAGAGAACGAAGGAAGTCTGCACATGAAGTGCAAACGACTTGAATAGTAGAAGATAGATTCAGAAGTGTTGATTCATCGGAGTTTATTCTACTTGCACCCTGATGTATAAGCTGTCCACATACATATCATGTAGGTCTTTCAATCGAGCTGCTCGTCTGATGAAGTCTGATGTCATTATCGTAAAATCGATGCCGTAAATACTACGCTTGAAGTTCGGACTCAAAGAGTGACCATCCAGACCACAAGAAGCCGCTCACGTAATCTCAACGAAGTTGGTGTGTCACGTTGTGACCAGAAACATCGCCGGCTTTCTCTCACCCACTGGCACATGAGGGTGCATCGAATGTACCAGTGCTTCATTCTCAAGGTTGGTAGCCTGAGTGGCGTGGACGGCCTTCAAGAAGTTTACGGCGACTGACAGGAAGCAGGAAGGATGGCGCAATCCTCTTGAGACGTTGAATGAATAATGAGCAGAGATCGAAGATAAAAAGCAGATCTAACTCTGCCTACGCAGCTAAGATGTCCACCTCCGATCATTGGTGCATCCAATTTCACTGCTCGTCGAAACGTTCGATTTGTCCGATCATCTCAGGCGTAGTTACCTTAAAAAGGTTGCCGTCAACTTGCGGTTCGGATTGAGCGATCTCGACTACCCGCACGGTTCGAACCAGGCAGCTCTCTATACCCTGCGACAGATCTTCGGTACTACCAAATGGATGGATGTCAAGTGTAGTAACACTGCAAAAAGGTCCTGGACACCACCGCCAAGATGAATAGCACAGACACCGAAATGGAGAAAGACGTGACGATCGGTTTGACCTGCGAGATTCGAAGATGCCAGATCACTTTATTCTGAACCTGGATGAGTATCACGAGACTGTGGACGCATTACATTGAAAGGTGTTGATGAATGACCTTATGGAGCAACAGAGGAAGAAGGCAGCAATGGTGGATGCTGGTAAATAGATACTTCAGTAATAAACGCGAATCTCGATACTCTGTGTACAGCGGTAAATTGGAGTACACATCGTGGGGAGCTAGCTGTACCAGCATAAGCTTAAGTACGACTATTGAGGAGATCCACGCAGCTTGTGCAGCTTGAGGGCATTGATCAATGTTCACTGAAAGATTATGATGAAGACAGCGAATACAATGAGAAACGCTTTGTCTTGTGGACATCGATGGATGTCAAAGGGTAAGAGGCTTTGTCGAGGAAGCTTGAAGAGCACGAAGGAAGTCTGCACATGAAGTGCAAACGACTTGAATAGGAGAAGATAGATTCAAAGGTGTTGATTCATCGGAGTTTATTCTACTTGCACCCTGATGTATAAGCTGTCCACATACGTATCATGTAGGTCTTTGAATCGAGCTGCTCGTCTAATGAAGTCTGATGTCATTATCGTAAAATCGATGCCGTAAATACTACGCTTGAAGTTCGGACTCAAAGAGTGACCATCCAGACCACAAGAAGCCGCTCACGTAATCTCAACGAAGTTGGTGTGGCACGTTGTGACCAGAAACATCGCCGGCTTTCTCTCACCCACTGGCACATGAGGGTGCACCGAATGTACCAGTGCTTCATTCTCAAGGTAGCCTGAGTGGCGTGGACGGCCTTCAAGAAGTTTACGGCGACTGACAGGAAGCAGGAAGGATGGCGCAATCCTCTTGAGACGTTGAATGAATAATGAGCAGAGATCGAAGATAAAAAGCAGATCTAACTCTGCCTACGCAGCTAAGATGTCCACCTCCGATCATTGGTGCATCCAATTTCACTGCTCGTCGAAACGTTCGATTTGTCCGATCATCTCAGGCGTAGTTACCTTGAAAAGGTTGCCGTCAACTTGCAGTTCGGATTGAGCGATCTCGACTACCCGCACGGTTCGAACCAGGTAGCTCTCTATACCCTGCGACAGATCTTCGGTACTACCAAATGGATGGATGTCAAGTGTAGTAACACTGCAAAAAGGTCCTGGACACCACCGCCAAGATGAATAGCACAGACACCGAAATGGAGAAAGACGTGACGATCGGTTTGACCTGCGAGATTCGAAGATGCCAGATCACTTTATTCTGAACCTGGATGAGTATCACGAGACTGTGGACGTATTACATTGAAATGTGTTGATGAATGACCTTATGGAGCAACAGAGGAAGAAGGCAGCTATGGTGGATGCTGGTAAATAGATACTTCAGTAATAAACGCGAATCTCGATACTCTGTGTACAGCGGTAAATTGGAGTACACATCGTGGGGAGCTAGCTGTACCAGCATAAGCTTAAGTACGACTATTGAGGAGATCCACGCAGCTTGTGCAGCTTGAGGGCATTGATCAATGTTCACTGAAAGATTATGATGAAGACAGCGAATACAATGAGAAACGCTTTGTCTTGTGGACATTGATGGATGTCAAAGGGTAAGAGGCTTTGTCGAGGAAGCTTGGAGAGCACGAAGGAAGTCTGCACAGGAAGTGTCTTTCAA